ATCTAATTTTGAGTTTTTTTATGGATTCACTTTTCTTCTTTTCATTTTATTTGACACAAGGAAGAGTTCCCAATATCTCCAGATGGGAGAGAATCTAAAGAAATCCTGACTATCACATGTGATCCAAGCTAGTAGGTGCAAAAGACAGTATCTTCTTGTCACTCATTTTCACATTGATTATATAGCCATGAAAATGACAGTTAGATGTGATTGAAGACCTAGCTAACTTGTTTCATTTTTGTTTCATTTGGTTGCTTTATGAGTAGAAAGGCTGCTGCTTTTAAGTTCTTGCCCTTTATGAGATGGTTTAAATAGCATGTCATTGATAAAACAAGTGCAATTTACCACATCTAATTTCATTTTTGCAGTTGCATTAACAGTTTATGGATACCAATTTTATCTTTAATGAGAAAAAAATCTTGGTTTGTTGAACTCTGCCTTTGAAATGTGCAAACCTCTGTTTATGTCCCAGCCCTTTCTCTTGAGATTGGGCCTATAGGTGGCAGCAACTGTTAGCTATTGAGCTTGGGTGACATGTGCCAAAAGTTCTCCTAAAATACTTTAAATAGTTTAAATATTCTTGGATACTTGAAAATGAAATTTTCTCTAGATAAGAAAGTGAAAGTTCGAACTTGAATCAGGACTGTTGAAGGATTCATACACTATAGTCAACATTATATAGATTAAAAATGGTGTAGGGGCTTGAACATTCTATATTTTAAAAGTTTGCAATGTGATGACGGTTGGGTTCAGTCTTTAAGATTTGTGACTGCTGTGGTCAGATTGGTTATCCTTTGCTCTCCATTATTTTGTGTAAAATGGGTTTTTGAACTTAGAGTAATCTAGAATAAATCAGTTCCTCTGAGCTTAACATTCAATGAAAGTTGAGATTTTGATTCAAGTACCATCTGTTTTACACAATGAATGTGTCATAGAAATGTTTAGTACAATTTGGGTTTTTGCAAATCAAACAATGCTTACTTGCATAAAGCAGTTTATACTTTAAGGGTTACTTGCAGGGAAAATTCTACTCCAGTTTTAATTATTTCATAGAAACTTTTTTGAGAGTTTGGAATTTTGTTAACCTGTTTTCATATATGAGGGACACCTATATTTAATAATGCTTTCCAACAGTCTGTTAGATTTGGAGAGAACTGAAACAATATGGACTTTATCTGGCTCTCTGTAGGTGACTGCTAAACTATACTTTGGCATGACTAATCTAATAACACCAATTATCTTCATGGTTTATATTACTTGTGGATCAGTCCACTGAAAAGACAGTAAATTGTATCAGCCCCATTTCAGTCAACTGGACCAAGCCTTTGTGTTTCCTTATTCTGAAGATTACTTAAAATGCTGCTTCTCTATTCACTAGACCTTTATAAAGCTCCTAAAATACCATATATGGTAGAAGAAAAGCTGCTTTTCACATTGAAAGCATTCGTTCCTCAAAAACAAACTTATTTGATTTAATTTCTTAAGAGAATTTTTATGTGCACTGTTTGGTTGGGCTACTTCTATTGTGTGAAGAAAATGTCATTTCCCTTTATTACATTGACCCAATTTGAAAAAGAAGAAAATGGCATCACATTTGGAACTAAAGTTTTAGCACAAGCCAACAGCAAGACTCACTGAATCAAAACAGATGGTTCAAAAATAGTTTGGAATAGATGTATCTATCCTATAGATGCCTGCTTAAAAAATGTAGAAAAATGAGGTATGGCTTTTTCACACTATAGCCTTGGTAATAATTTATAAATTTTGATTTTTTAAAAATATATTTTGATGTTCATATAATATGGCTAAAGTCAAAACTGACTGTGAACAGCTGAACATAGTAGTGGGATTTATTGAAGATTAAACTCCAAGGGTTGGTTTCCTCCTTTGGGACTAGTCTGCAATTTACCTGTTAGGTGTTTGTTGGTGGTGGGTTTTTTTTTTTTTTTTTTTTGAGTGTGCTGTGCGGTTGGATGAGGGCATAGGACAGATCCATAGATATTGACCTATGAAAGCAAATATTATGTACAATCAAATCAGCTACAATCTGAATTACTAGGTAACAGATTCTAGGACCTTAAGAGAATGTGCTGAAAAACAGTGTCACATAACTTTTAGGGGAATGCAGAGGAAAGAGCCTAATACAAGGCAAAGGTGAAGAAATAAAAGAAAGTGCTTCAAACAGATGGGCCTTTTCTACAGAGAACTTCCTTGTTGTCTTTCCACTTGAAATACATTATACTGTATTTAATCCTTTAATCCTTATCTTTAAAGATAAGGATTTGTCCCAACGATTATTTTATTATTGCTCTAAACTTCCATAAAATGTAACAAGTCACACCTTACATTTTTAAAGGAGACTACCTTTCTACTTTTTAAAATCCAAGTTGTATCATCATTAGGTCATACTTTGTCTATTTCCATGCACCAAACAATATTTAGCAGAATTAGTGCTTACTAAATGATTAAATTCCAGATGCATCCTTTCCTTGGTAATAGCCCCTCGTCTATCTGTGCAGTTGGTCCTCATTATTACTTTCTTGTACTCAGTGCATCTTCTTGATACAGTTCTCTTCTGTCTTGCGTGGAGTGAACTGGAACATGTGGCCCTAAAGGGAATGCCCTTAGGGGTTCCAGAAAAGAAATTACTTTTTCTTTCAGACAATGCTGCGATTTTGGATGGAAAAATATAGGGTGCCTCCAAGATCAATCCTCTCCCCAAAATAATTCCTTCTCTGTGATGTCTTCTGGATTCCACATTTTAAAATACCTCCCTTGTCCACCCAAATACACACACACACACACACACACACACACACACACACACACACAACCAAAAGGACCATCAAATTAAGCTGTGCACTACATCACATAAGACATCTCTTTTCTCCAAAGATTAGTCATAAGACTTCAGCATTATAACTTACATGTGCCTTGTTAGAGAAAAATGGCCAATCTTTTCAGTCTCAACATGATTGTATTTACTATAGAGCAAAATTGATAATCTCTAAGATATAAGCTTTATGATAGCAGGATTCTTACCTATTTTGTTCTTTGCAGTTTGTAGTTTTGCCAACACCTTAACAGAGCTTGGTAAATAATAGTTTTTTAATAAGTATATGTGTTGAATGAATGAATCACTAAGAAAATTAGTGGAACAAAATTAATGGTTATGCTGTGTTACAATGTCTAACTTTTCTCCAGTTTAGAATTAAGCTCCAGTTTCATACAAACACTCTGGTACTCTAACTTCTCATTTAGCACCTTAATTTACCAGAGACTTACTCTGTTCCTGTTATGTTGCCAGTGCTTTCGTATCATGACTAGAATAACAGCCATTTTCTCTTCTCTTCAATACATAAAAAGGCCTACGTTTACCCCAAGAATGAATGCTTTCGAATTTTCCTCGCTCTTGAGTGCTCTAAGGCATTGCAAGGCTTTGCTGTCCACTTGAACAGTTGATAATAGTCCTTTGATGTAGAGCTTTGAACAAGAGATAAGAAATAGTAATCTAACCATAGCTTATGCTGATGGTCAACAGGACCATCTTGCTATTCATGCCACTAAAGATTATTTTCTACCTTGCTGTCCAATTAACATAAAAACTCTCTCAAAATTATGTAGAACCATAAACTATACCTTCTAATTTTTAACTTCTCTATCCCTCTCCTACCTTCTAGTACCCTCTATTTTTCCTGACTCTTACCTGCATGATATGACGTAGGATGTAAGCAAGAGTGGCATTCTGTGCCAATCCTCCTTTTCATGGACAGTATCGCCTGAAATGAAGTAGATTCAGAGTGTAAATATATGTACCTTTCTTTCTGATTAAACAGTTTCAAAAAAGAATCCACAACAGAAGTGTTAGTTTTAAAAACTGCTGACCACAAATATTGGATTTTTTTTTTTTTTAACTGAGTTGGAATGAGCTTTGACAAAAAGTCACAGTTGATGGTACTAAGTTTTTGGTGCTGAGACAGGAGCTGTGCTACCTACTCCTTCATTCCAGATTTGGGAGGTGACGGACCTAGTTTGCATTCTTAAGCTTTGAAGAATCTTGAGGTAAACTCTCAGAAGTGGGCTAAGTAGCCACAGGAAAGTTATCTTTAAAAGACTTAACCATCCCACCTTCATCCTTCCTTCATTTGGTCTTTGCATTGCCCAAGAGGAAACCAGTCAAAGGGCTCATTTAGAAACATTTTTACTCTGTTGAGAGTCGTTCAAATATTTTCTCAAAACTTCTTTCTAGACCAATGTGGTTTTCCTTCCAAGAAACTCACTCTTACTGCTCTGTTTCCTGGGATTTGGACATTAGCTATTGATGCCTTTCTGTGGGTTTTCTTTCTGTTTTTGTCTCCATGTTCAGCTTACTTTTCTTAATCTAAGTTATCTCACTCTTTGAAACTTCTTGGTCCACATGGCTCAAAAGCAAAGCCAGAGGAAAAGACAGCTCATGTCTCATGACTGTGGCAGAGGTTTGGACACTCCCAGTCGGCTCTCTGCTGCTTCTCCTCCTGCTAGCTACTGCAGCAGGTTCCTGGAGTCAGACAATGCATTATCATGCGGATTACACTGATTAGCTCTAAAAGTCAGTTAGGTAACAGGAGCTCTTTCAATGGTGTCCTAGAATTCTGTCAGGTTGACTGTTCAAACACTGGTTTTTGGGATCCCCTCCAGCATTCCTTAATGTAATCCAGGCATGTCATTGCAGGTTCTATTTGAGAAGGGGCTACTTACTTGTCACTTAGAATATTTTCAGTTTTAAGTCAAAACCTTCTCAGAAAAAAAAAAAAAAAAAAAAAAAAGCACAGTGAAAGATATGAGAGCCCATGTAGGAGAGGCAGAGAAGAACAAAATGCAGAAGTATATCAAATGCCAGACTTACATTAAGTGCACGTGTGCTCTGGGGAATGGGGTTTCTGTTTTGTTTTACATAGAAACTGCGATGATTTTGTACTGTTTTGGTAACTACTGAGTAACTACTAAGTCACTAATGAGATCCAGTGAATTCAAAGGCAGAGGAACACAGGAAGAGTGCAGGTCTGAGCTGCTTAACAGGCTCAGAGACATGTGTCTGTGTTTGACCCTCAGTGGGAGGAAGTGACATAGGCTACTGGTGGATGTCCAGTTTTACCATATTATGCTGTTGGACTGGATACTATTAAGAAGACAGGCACATTGCTGGGTGCCAGGGAAGAGCAGTGGTTCCAGATGAGTCAGACTGCTGTTGTCACCTCCTCCCTGCTGGAAAGACAAGACTCAGCAGCTCCTTGGAGATGTTCAGAACTTGGGGTGAAGGCATAAAGAGGTGAGGTTTTCAAAGATGAACCATTTGCCAATAGCCTTTAAGTAGATTTGAGTTGTCATATTTTGGCAGAATCTCTTTAGATTTCCACTGTGATGCAGCAGGTTTTTCCCAAAGTTGCATAGAGAAGCGAAGTGGCTAGGTACGGGACAAGGGGAGAGAAGACACTGTCTACAGATTCCAACCAAGGGCCTTTTCCAGACCTTTCTCTCTTTGATTTCTCACCCATTGTAATCTCATCCTGAGGTGCTATAAAGATACCTATCCCTGGGGTGGTATTTAAATTATGGAATTTAAGTATAACATACCCCATAGTCACCTCCATTAAATCGAATGGGAACACAGGCTTCATGGAAATCGACTATGGCACTTTTCTTGAGTATTTCTGGATTGTTTAGTAATAATATATCTTTCTTAACCCCAGCCCTGTATATGTATATGTATGCATTATTGTGCACGTACACACCCACTCTCTTTCTCCAGGATGTATTATTACTCTGTGTGTGTGTGTGTGTGTGTACATACTATACAGCACTGAATATTCTGAATTAGTAATGATTTGTTCATTTTTTATCAGACTTTATTGATAGGTCAGGATGATTTGGCCCAGCCCAAGAGGCAATATGGCAAAATATACAGTGCAGGCAGATTTTAAAAATGTCCTTCTTTTTAAAATGTAATAATCATTTATGGTCTTGGGTAGTTGATATAAACTCTCCTTAGTTGAGGGTCCTAATTAGAAAAAAAAAAAAAAAACTAGTCTAAACAACATTACCTTGCTGTTTATATATACATGTTTTTATATATATTTCTTTTTAATTAAAGTGTCAAGCTCAGTGCCTGACACACTATAAGCATCCAACAAATGACATCTCCATTTTTCTTTCCATATAAGTTAAAGGCCTTCTTGTAAGAATTGGTGCCTAAAAGAAATCAATGTATGAATATTTAAAAAAATGAAATGTTTTAAAGAATGCATGTCTTCCGCTCTTAATTTTCTTAGCTAGTCTTCTTTGCAGTTAAAAATGTCATCAGAATGCTATGTAGAGTCTGTCTTTGATTTGTGGTGATTAGATAGGCCTAGTGAATCATTAGCTAACTCATAAGACTGTTGAATACTTGGAGACAGTGAGACGCAAGCATATCTCTAGATCTCAGTTGGTCCAAGGTACATGTCTCTGCCCCTAAAATTATGCCATTCTTTCTGAATTCTCTCAAACAACCCTAAAATAGATAATCCATCTCTGATGCTGTATATTGGTCTATTTTCATTCCCTATGGGTCTGAGTCCAACTGTCTAGCAAATGCACTTAAAAATAATAATACTTTCCTCAACACTATCTTCAGGGCTTCCTGCCAGTTAGATGCTTTCAATGTCTTCTTTTCTTTTTTTCTTTCTTTCTTTCTTGCTTGCTTCTCCCAGCTGTTGGAGCTGTCTCACGATGTTGCCAACTTCCACAGTCGCCTGGAGAAACCAACTCAGCTACAGGTTGGGACTCGGGTAGGGAGTGAGAGTGCACAGCTTTATTCCGAGACAGGGGCCATATGTGCTCACATCCATGGCTATGTATTTTTTCCTCACTAGTAGTTGTTAAGTTGTTAATTCTGTTCTTGATAGGTTTAAAAGAAAGGGGGGAAAATGCTCAGGCTAAAAGACCCAAGAGAAGGAAGCGGGAGTGGTTGCTGTGAGCTTTGAAACATGCACACGAGCGTGTGCGTACACACAAAAATACATGGACAAAAGGATAAATTGAAAAAGAATGTGACAACCCTTGCTTGGTTTAGCAGTCTGGTCAGCCCCACAGATGAGGAAGTGCTGCTTTATCCCAAGCTAAAGCCTTGTTTTCTTGTTCATTGTCTTTCAGGGTAAAATCTGGGGGAAATTCACCTGTCTGATGCAAAGTTAAACTGCTGGCTTTAATGTGACTGCATGGGAACTTGGGTTTATTAATGAATACAACATACCCTCTTTGATTTGAAAGCTTTCACCCTGTTGAAAAGATTCAAAAGGCATCGCTTCCTGCACCAGCGGCATTCCTTTATCCGTCTCAGTGGTTCACCCCTACCCAGCTGCTATATCTCATTAACAAGCATTTGACCACTGCAGCCGGCCTGGGAGTGTTGACACTTGAAAAGCCCAGGCAGGCGTGGGCAGGCCATCAGCTATGGCAACAGGAAACTGCCCCAGAGACAACACTGAGAAAACAGCAGCTGCAAAAGCCAAAGTCAGAACAGACATAAAGGGCTGCCTATATCCACGTTGGTCTGGGGTATCGGTGCCTGCCTATGGGTCTGAATCCACACATCTATTTACTGTATTCATGGGATAGAAAGGTTGCTATCAGCATGTATCAGAGTCAGGACTTTTTGACAACCCAGAATAATTTTTTTGACTTACGATGTTCTTGGATCCTTAGGTTTCTTATTCTCCTAATAACTTAAAATCTTGTTTGTGTACATAAGAATATTCACCAGAGACCTCATACTTGATACACACCTTTACTCCAGTGGAAGTCATATGCACAATTAAAAAAATGTATATACATGAACACATTCATTTTTTTAATCACGTTATTTTTCAAGAAAAAGTCAACTTGTGAGACTGTCATATAAATATATAAGACTATTTTAAAAGCCTTTGGTTTAGGAATCAAACTGTGATGGTTTTGTATAAAATATTTCAGAATGAAAGCATTGTTTCAATTGTGTAACTATGGCTCATAAAATTAAGTGGGATATCTCATATAATCATTGATTATAATTTAAATACCTATTTTAATATTGTTTATTGACTATTCATTTAATTGTAGGCCTTTCAATACCATAAGTGTTGTTTCTACATTCATCAGAGGAGCTTAAAGTATAGACTGTCTCATGTCATGTTTTGAGCAAGTAGTTTTCCATATCTTGTGCGTTCTTTTCAAGCTTATAAAAGCATTTTTAGTGGCTAGGTAAGCAATAGTTCAAAATCAATGTTTTCAATCCGTAAAGAAAATAACCCTTTTAAAACAGGAAAAAGAGATCACTCTATAATAGCAGAAAAAAGAAAGCTAAATGAAAAAAGACACTAATGCAGTGTGTTACAAGTGAAGTTAGTGGTCTGCCATTCAAAGAGTGGTGAATTATTTTCCTGTCATTGTCAGTACAATAGGCAATTAGTGATTATCACATTGAAGTATACCATTACTTTATTCATCTGAGTAATTAAGGTTTATGTACATTTACCTATCACTCACCATAAAAGCTCTTTTAATTTCACATTATTACTCTAAAATAGTTAGATTTTTTTAAAGATGTGAATGTATTTTAAATTATCATAGCTTCTTTTTTTCGAGATGTTAGAATATGCTTCTTGAGTGCAGTGAATTTTCCAGTTCTACCTTCATCCACCTTTTACCCTCCAGGGGAAGAGAAGACTGTACCAGCCGCATCTTCCTGAAAGCCATTAAGATATTTACATTTGATGTCAGTTTTTCTGACCTAGTCGTAGGGGGTCACATTCATTTCCGATAGGCAGGATGATGCCCAGGCTCTGGAAACAGCTTGGGAGCAACTCTCAGTCCTGCTACCCACCAGCAAAGCGAACCTTGAGTGAGGGACTTAAAGTTTTCTGTGCCTCAGACTCCCAGTCTGTTAAATAGTGGTAAGATGAATAGTACTTAATTCATAGGCTGGTATAAGGATTAGATGGATGTACACACACATACACTTCAAAGAGTGCCTATCTCATACCAAGCAGTCTATAACGGCTGCTATTATTAATACCAACCTCTTTCCTCACCATATCATACTTTACCCCTTTATAGTGATTTATATTTCCATAGAACTTATTCTGTTTTATATTGTTATATGTGGGTGTTGACTTATTTATTTTATAATAAAACCCTTTCCCTGTCTTCCCCTAAGACACATACACACACACACACACACACACACACACACACACACACACACACACAGCTATGCAACTATAGGCTTTATGAAATCATGGACTTGCTGAGTGATTGCATTTGTGTAGATCTGGCCTCAGAGACAAAAAAGAACGAAGGATAAATTTTAATGAAGTAATGCCATAATAGGAAAATGCCTGATGTATACAGTTTTAGGAACAGGATGATTACTATTTTAATACATATCTTTGTTCATCTATATTGTAAAGGTGCTGCTCATACCCTGGAAAATCTTACCTTGGTGCTATTGCTACTGGATTGATGATTCACAGTTTCTGTCTTATACATCTATTATTATAATCTTATTCAAAGGTTGAATTATTTATGTTAGGGCTCATATATAAGAATATAAGGTCTATCTTTTAAAACTAATTTTTAATTAACAAAAAGTATATTATGTAGGGCATAATGTTTTGAAATATGTATGCATTTGTGGAAGGGATAAATCATGCTAATGAACATATCTATGACTTATTTTTGTGTGGAAAGAACACTTAAAATCTGTCTTAGTGATTTCAAATATACAATACACTATTAATAACTATAATCACCATGTTGTACAATAGATCTCTTGAACTTGTTACTCCTACCAAACTAAAATTTCTATCCTTTGACCATCATTTTACCCAACCACTCTCATACTCCCAGGGTTTGGTAACCTCCGTTGTATTCTCTACTTCTACTATTAGATTTCACATGCAAGTGAGACCATATAGCTTTTGTCATTCTGTGCCTGCCTCAGTGTTCTCCAGTTTCATCCATGTTGTCTCAAATGACAAGATTTCCCTTTCAAAGCTGAATAGGGGTTCCATATATATATATATATATATGCCACATTGTCTTTATCAATTTATCCATTGATGGGCACTTAGGTTGACTATTGTGAAAAATGCCACAATAAACTTGAGAGTGTAGATAATCCTGTGACTTAACTGATTTCATTTTCTTTGGATATATACCCAGTGGTGGGATTGCTGGATCATACAGTAATTCTATTTTTAATATTTTAAGGAACCTCCATACTGTTTTCTATGTCTGTGCTAATTTACATTCCCACCAGCAGTGTGCAAGGGTTCCCTTTTATTTGTATCCTCAACAGCATTTGCTATCTTTTATCTTTTTAATAATAGCCATTTTAGCAGGTATGACTTCATTGTGGTTTTAATTTGCATTTCTCTGATAATTACAGATTTTGAACATTTTTTCTTATGCTTGTTGGCTATTCGTATGCCTTCTTTTAAGAAATGTCTACTTAGATCCTTGGTACATTTTTTAATTGGATTATTTTCTTTCTATTGAATTGTTTGAGTTGCCTCCCTGTTTTGGATATTAACTCCTTACCAGATGTATAATTTGCAAATATGTCCTTCCAGTCCTTAGGTTATCTCTTCACTCTGTGACTGCTTCCTTGGCTGTGCAGGAGCATTTAGTTTGACATCCCATTTGTCTGTTTTCGCTTTTGTTGTTAGTGCTTTTGAGCTCATATCTAGAAATCATTGCCAAGACCAGTGTCACGAAATTTTCCCCTATATTTTCTTCTACTTTCAGGTCTTTAAGTTTTTAATATATTTTGAGTTGATTTTTTGTATATGGTATAAAATAAGGGTCTAATTTCATTCATCTGCACATGGATATTCAGTTATCTCAACATCATTTATTGAAGAGACTGACTTTTCTTCATTGTATGGTCTTGGCACCCTTGTCAAAAATCAATTGACTATAAATACATGGATTTATTTCTGAGGTCTCTAAATTGTTACATTGGTCTATGTTTTTACTTTTATTCTAATACCATGCTGTTTTAATTACAATAGGTTTGTGGTATATTTGAAGTCAGATAATTTAATGCTTCCAGTTTTGTTTCTGTTTTGCTCAAGATTGCTTTGGTTATTCAGGGTCTTTTGGTTACATGCTAATTTTAAGATTATTGTGTCTATTTTTGTAAAAAAAAATGTGATTGAAATTTTGATAGGGATTGCATTGAGTCTGTAGATTGCTTTGAGTAGTATGGATATTTTAACAATATTAATTTTTCCTATCCATGAACATGGGATGTCTTTTCATTATTTTGTGTCTTCTATTTCTCTTATCAATTTCTTACAGTTTTAAGTGCACAGGTCCTTAAATTAGCTGGGTGTGGTGGCATGTACCTGTAGTCTCAGCTGCTCGGGAGGCTGAGGCAGGAGATTCACTTGAGCCTGGAAGGCAGAGGTTGCAGTGAGCTGAGATTGCACCACTGCATTCCAGCCTGGGTGACAAAGAGAGGCTCCATCTCAAAAAAACAAACAAACAAAAAAAAAATGGAGAAAAGCAAGGCAGGATGACTGACCACCTGGGAGTGACATAGAACCAGGAAAACCTCTCCCACCCAGTGAAGTGATAAGCAAGTGAGCAACCCCAGGAATCCACACTTCTCCAATGGATCTTTACAACCCTTGGGTCAGGAGATCCCTTTGTGAACCCACTCCACCAAGGCCTTTGGACTGACACATAGAGCTATGTGGAATTTTGGCAGAACAGTGGGTCAGGCACAATCAGAGCCCCCGTGGCCTTAGATGCCCAGGATTCCCAGAAAAAGCAGCTGCAACTCCACCAAAAAGGGGGGTTAGGCCCCTGTACATACCCCTAGGAAATGGAGTGAATCCAGGGGGATGAGCGGGGACGGGATGCAGGTTCTACTTGCACTTCAACTCACAGGATAAGACCCACTGTCTTGGAACTCCAGCCAGCCACTGGTAGCAGTGTTACACCTCCCTAAGGTAGAGCTCCCAGTGTAAGAGGCAGACCACCATCTTTGCTGTTTCACAGCCTTAGCCATTGTTGCCTTAGGGGTCTAGGGAATCTGAGACAACTAAGGACTGGAACAGTCCCCCAGCATAGCCAGAGTTTTAAGGAGAAGTGGTCAGACTGTTTATTCATGCACATGTTGATTCCTGTTTTTCTTCACTGGGCAGAATCTTCCAACAAGGGTCTCCAGTCACACCCACTGGTGTTTTCCAGTTGACAGTGGTTTCAAACCTCTCTGGGATGGAGCTCCCAGGGGGAGAGGAGGTCTGCTATCTTTGCTGTTAGGCCACTTTAGCTGTTCATGCCTTTAGCTTTGGAGAGTCCAAGGTGACCAGGAGCTGAAGCAGATCCCCAGCACAGCACAGCTGCTCTATGAAAATATGGCCAGAATTCTTTTTAAAGCACGTCCCTGATGGCCTTCCTCCTCACTGGTTGGGACCTTCCAAACAGGGTTTCCAGCTACCCCTGCTGGTGTTTTCTGGCAAGCAGCAGTTCCAAACCTCCCTGGGATGGGGCTCCCAGAGGGAGGGTGGCCTTCCATCCTTGCTGTTTGGCTGCCTTATTCATTCTTGACTTTGAACTTTGGAGAATCTGAGATGACTACCAGCTGGAGCAGACACGCAGCACAGCACACCTGCTCTTTATCTCTCCGTTTCTGAAGGACAGCTTTTTTGAGTACAGTAATTCTTGCTTTCCAGTTATTTTCCCTTTAGCGTTTTGAATATAACATCCCACTCTCTTCTAGCCTTTGAAGTTTTTCTGAGAAATCCATTGCTAATCTTATTAAAACTCCCTTATGTGTGTTTGCTTGTTTTCTCTTGCTGACTTCAGGGTCCTATTTTTGTCTGATTTTTAACAATTTTCTTTTTTCTTTTAATGTCTTGGTGTAGTTTTGTTTGGATTGAGTCTGACTGAAGACTTTTGACCTTTCTGTACAAAATCTTTTTCCAAATTTGGAAAGTTTTCTTTTATTATTTCTTTATTTTTATTTTTTATTGTACTTTAGGCTCTGGGGTACATGTGCAGATCATGCAGGATTGTTGCATAGGTACATACATGGCAATGTGGTTTGCTGCCTCCACCCTCATCCTGTTACCTACATCTGGCATTTTTTCCCATGTCATCCCTCCCCAATCTCCCCACCGCCCTGCTGTCCCTCCCTTGGTGCCCCCAAACAGACCCAGTGTGTGATGCTCCCCTCCCTGTGTCTGTGTGTTCTCATTGTTCAACACCTGCCTATGAGTGTTGAACATGTGGTGTTTGATTTTCTGTTCTTGTGTCAGTTTGCTGAGGATGATGGTTTCCAGATTAATCCATGTCTCTACAAAGGACATGAACTCATTGTATTTTTTGGCTGTATAGTATTCCATGGTGACTATGTACCACATTTTCCTTGTCCACTCTATCGTCAGTGGGCATTTGGGTTGGTTCCAGGTCTCTGCAATTGTAAACAATGCCACTATGAACATACATGTGCACATGTCTTTATAATAGAATGTTTTATAATCCTTTGGTTATATACCCAGTAATGGGATTGCTGGGTCAAATGGAATTTCTATTTCTAGGTCCTTGAGGAAGTGCCACACTGTCTTCCACAATGGTTGAACTAGTTTAAACTCCCACCAACAGTGTGAAAGTGTTTCTATTTATCCATATCCTCTCCAGCATCTGTTGTCTCCAGGTATTTTAATGATCACCATTCTAACTGGCGTGAGATAGTATCTCAATGTGGTTTTGATTTGCATTTCTCTAATAATCAGTGATGATGAGCATTTTTTCATATGTTTGTTGGCCTCATATATGTCTTCTTTTGAAAAGTGTCTGTTCATATGCTTTGCCCACTTTTGGATGGGTTTGTTTGGTTTTTTCTTGTAAATCTATTTTAGTTATTTGTAGATTCTGGATATTAGCCCTTTGTCAGATGGGTGAATTGCAAAATTTTTTTCCCATTCTGTTGGTTGTTGGTTCACTCTAATGATTATTTCTTTTGCTGTACAGAAGCTCTGGAGTTTAATTAGGTCCCATTTGTCTGTTTTGGCTTTTGTTGCCAGTGCTTTTGGTGTTTTAGTCATGAAGTCCTTGCCTATGCCTATGTCGTGAATGGTTTTGCC